GTCATGTTAGTGTTAGTGTTTTCTCAACCCGTCGTGTCACGGGTCGTGTTAGTGTTGGGAGTTTTTCAAAAAAAAATTTCTTCAACCCGACACTAACACGACCCGTCGACACGATTTGCCAGCCCTAGTCCATGGAATCTATAGCTTGTCCAGTCATGGAACCTCATGGCTTGCCCAGTCATGGGGCCCGCAGTTTGAGTAGTTCGTGGGATCATAATAACGATTTCAGAAATTTAATTAATGATTTCTTAAACTAAGAGATCTTGTGAACTGGTAAGAGAGTCTATTGCTGTAAGCCTAGATAGGATGCGGAGAGTGCATCCTCGGGGGCAGAACCTGAAACTCGATCCAGGTATGCGAGGTACTTGGTTAGGTAAGTAATTTGTACTAATTACTTGCTAAAGCTTGTAATATGGAGATTTTACATTTATTTTCTCGGAGAAAAAGGATGTGAGGTTCTGGTTGTCTGTTGGAACTGAATGTCTATTTATTCACTTATCCATTTATTTATTTACTCGCACATTTATATATTCATTTATTTTTAAGTCATTTCAAATTATATCCTACTGGGCCTTTCGCTCACATTTTACGTTTTAAATGTATTAAACCCCTCCCACGAGATTCTAGGAGCGGTGCACAGTAGCTGGATATTTGCTACGGAGTAGCTGAGTTGTGCTGCTGTTGAAATCAAGTGAGGATTGTGATCATCCTCTGGAATAAAATGTAAGGGATTGAGAATTCTGTAAACTCTCGAATATTTGGATTAACTAGACTGTGGTTGATGTCTGTTGTAATGATTATTTACATGTGCGTGTATGTACGATACTGTATGTCCTGTGGGGTGGAGCCCTATGTTGTCAGAGGCTCGGGATTTAGAAATTTATTATATTTTAAATGTAGTTGAGTGGGGCTCGTCTAGGAATCTGCTTTATTAACCCTTAATCAAGCTCCACGTCACCCACCCCGTTTGGGGGGCGTGACAACTGTTGGTTGTAATACATATAAACACTCACATTTTGTTTTTGCATCATGTTATCTAACCTAATAAAGAATAATTTTGATGGAACAACTTGTCTTGTGAAAACATTAAAATTAAATAGAATAGAATATTGTTGGAACGAGACCAACACAATCAGAAATATAAAGATGAACAATCAAGAAAACAGGAGAAACAATAACACAACCAGATTACCCAGGTTCGGCCAAAATAGTTTGACCTAATCCTGCTGAGCTCCTCCACAAGAACTCAATCCACTATAGAGAAGAAGATTTACACAAAAAGATCCTCTCAAATTTGAGATCGGATACACAAACCAGATAACCAACCCAAAGAGGAAAAACAAAGTGTTTCCCGAGAGAACAACAAAATACCCCAGAAGAAATCCCAATTTCTTCTATTTTCTCACACCCGAAACACTCTTTGATCAAAACCCCTTTCACTCACCGTGTACTGGTTTCTCTCCGCCGTGAATCAGCATCAACCTCTCGATTACAAGAAGAAAGCTCTCTCTGATTTTCACCGACGCTCTCAACCCTAATTCTGATCTCATACTTACATATATATATGACCTGTTAGAAGAGTAAAGCAGACTCTGCATCATCTAAGGACACGTGGAGCAATCCGGTAGCAGTTTAGTTTAGACAAAACACTGTGTTTTCTTCTTCGAATGGATATAGCATGAATTTTCTCTTGGATTATTTCTTACAAATATGTTAAATTAGACAATCCTTTTTCCTCGCATGTGTACACATTTCACTACATATATAATAGTGACCTTGTTTGGATTGGAGCTGCCACTTTCCTGAGCATGTTATGTTCAAGTTGTGTTTAGCCTTCAAGGCTTCAAAAAAAGAAATGCACATAATAAGATAATGTTGATTCTGTCCTATATGTAACTATATTTTTCTCTTTCTTTTCCTATTATTTCTCTATTGCCAATTAGATCTCCTATGAATAGAAAAAAAAATGAATGAATGAAAGGTATATTGGATTTTACATAAATGCCTTTACAACACTTTAAGAAACAGTCATGATTTACGAGAAAACAAAGGGCAGAAATTAGTCAGAACTTTGAGTCTCTTCTAGGGTTCTAATAGACACAGAAACGGTCTTGTCATTAATGAATTTGCATTTAATAAAAAAAAACATTAATGTACAATTCTAAAAGGCTTATATTAGTTTTTTGGTTTTTATGTGTTTTATTTTTACATAGTTAGTAATTTTTTAGTAAGCTAATTTTAAGGAGAAATGGTTTTCACTGGAGTGTGTTTAGTTGGAAAGATGGATTGAAGAATGGAGAGGGGTGGAAAGAGAGAGCAAATCATTTATTTAGGGAAAGAAGAGAAACGAAGGGAGAGCACATCCACATGGGCCCACAAAATTAGATCCTTTTATTTGTGAGAGGATTCATAGAATCCATCAATTTTTATATCTAAAAGACTGTTTTATTCTTAAAATAAATTATTAATAAATAATCTAAATAAACAATATAATAATTTTATAAATAATTATCATCCATCCTTTTAATACTCTCTCTCTCTCCTGACAAACAACATTAAAGATTACTTTTGGACTACGGATAGGCCACTTAAAAATGAGTTTGACTTCATTATTATTGGCTCTAATTATGAAGGTTCACTTGATTATCATGCACATGCAAGCATCCTATTGAAGTTAGATTTTTAGGCCTGTTCTTTTAGAGTGTGACTTGAATGTTATTTTTAAGTTGAATTTGAGTTATAACTTGAGTTGAAGTTGTAACTTGAATAAAATTAAATAAAGTTGGAACTTAAAAAAATGTGAATTTAAATAAAGTTGTAACTTGAGTTTAAATTTTTTCTGAGTTTTATTACAAAAGAACAACCCCTTTATTTGGACCCAGTTGTCTCGTTCTTCTTGCTAATTTCCCCATCCATTCTTCTTCACTTCACGAGAAAATCGAAATCCCCACTGCAGACAATGCAAGTTTACATACCAGAATGAAATACCAAAATTAATTGGAAAAAACTTGAAAGGACACGTTTTTGGAAGGTGATAACACCACATTAAGAGGGCGTTTAGTTTATGAATTTAAAATTATGATTCAAAATTATTTTCGTTTTACGTGTATTTTTTATGAGAGAAAATACTGTAACAAATCACGAACTATAATTTAAATCATGGCCCGAATCCTCATTCCAAACGTCCCATAACTTATCAAACCACATTCACGTTTTTTCTCATTTGGACAAAAAAAAAAAGAAAAAAAAAATCCCTATTGATTCATCTGTTTTTCTTAATTCCAAACCCTAATTTAGCAAAATTATCTCAAATCAAATTTTAAAATCCAAATTAGAAAGTCTCTTCCTTCCCTTCTCTTGTCTCTCCTGCTCGCTAGAATCTTGAACTGGTGGTTTGGACTTAGCGACGAAGGGTTGCAAGCTCTGGTATGGCTTTCGCCAGCGACAAGGGGTGGTGGATTCTGCGACAACGAGTGCGATTTGAGAGATTGAACGGTAGTGCTACAAATTTCTTAGGGTGGATGATTGGAAAGTGGTTATTTCGATAGTGAGGTCCATTGATCAAAGTTTTTTTCTTTTTTTCTTTTTCCTAGCTCTGATTCACACCGAGAACTTATCCAGATTGTAAAATACCCATGGCCATGAGAAATCTATTTCAGAGGCATTCAGATCTATCTTCGACAGTCCTACAAATTTATTTTGATGGTTTTATTTTGTAGACTCCAAACTGAGTAAACAACGAAATATACCCATGAGAAATCAAAGAAGATAAAAATATGACACATTCTCACTTGTATGCTTTAAATTAATTTTTGGATCACAATGGAGATCGATAGTAGGAGGAAGATATTGAAAGTTTGTGAGTGGGTATGGTCAATTTGGGAGAACGCAGGTCAATAGGATAATAAGGAAGGGATTTGAGGAGAGAAGAAGAGTAAGAGGTTGTTTAGTTGGGGGATTCGTTTTTTAATTTGAATTATGTTTCGTGATTCGTTATAATATTTTTTTCACAAAATACAGATCACAAGTTAAATTTTTATTAAAAATAGAAATTTGGATGATAAAACCCTTAAAAAGATTGTACAGAAAATGCTTAGACTTTTCCGTTGAATGATTTTGATCAATCGGGAATTAAAAAAAGAACATACCGGGTCCAAAAAGGTACAGTACCGGAGAAGGATTCTAAAAATATTGTCCCGTTCATTTCATTTATTCGAGTTTAGAATTTAAATTTTATTATAATAAAATTTTTTTAGAAACAGTCATATCTAACTTTTTTTATTATAATAAAAAAATCTCATATTAAATCACATATAAAAACTCAAATTAACAAATTAAACAATCTAATAGTTTCAAGATATAAAAGTAAAGGTTGAGTTCTAGATTCTGTGATGAAAATGTGTACACCTTTAGAAAATATAACATATTTTGACCATTCAATTGCTTTGTACATAGTTACAAGCAAAAAGTTGTTTTGTACATAGTTTTAGTATTTACTAGACAAACTTATATAATAGATTTATTGGAAAATCTAGGGACGCCATCAAAGTTATTCAAAGTAATTAACCATGACGAAAGTTGTGTACGTGTCTTCAAACTTCAATCAGGCTTAGGAACTACCATTGAGATTACACCTGGTGAATTACAAAGTAATTACCTATTTTGGCGTTATTCATCTTCCTTATTCTGATTGGGCCAACTTCTCTCATTCACAGTGACAGGAAATGAAAAGTAAAGTCCAAAATATACTGCCTTGACAAAACCAACTAGAAGCAAATCAAAACAACCAGTTTTTTGAAATCCAAGGTCATAAAAAGAAACTTCCATAAAGTCTCACCAGATTTTCAAAACCACATAGTTTCATGTATTCCAATGGCCATGCAAAACCAATGAAATCTTCCTTGGGACATGTCATGTCATTGCATATTTTTTCTTTCAGTGGCTGCACATTTAAACCCCAGCATTTGCTTTCTTGTGCTGTATATTCTTTGAGAGTTTGAGATCAAAACATTAATTGCTAGACTTTCTTTTGTTTTTTTGTTTTGTTTTTTTTTTTTAAGAAAATGGGTTTGTTGAGTGAGGGAGTTACTCAGGTTGTGATACCTTTGGCTGCTTTGGTTGGGATTGGATTTGCTCTGCTTCAGTGGTTCTTGGTGTCAAGAATTAAAGTTTCTGTTGGGTCTGGTGAGGAACACGATGGCATCACAGATAGGCTGATTGGAGCAGACCAAGAAGAAGGTGTTGACACTCTTGAGGTTACCATCAAGTGTGCTGAAATTCAGAATGCCATCTCTGTTGGTCAGTTTATTTTTCTTTTCCCTATCTTTTATACGACAAGAATTTCAATCTGTAGTACAGGTTTCTCAACTGTCAAAATCATATATATTATTAAAAATAAAAATAAAAAGTGTGCAAAACTAAAGGTATATTATAAAGGTTTGACAGTTGAAAACAGTATATTTCCCGCAGTAGATATTTTTTTCATATTTTATCAAAGAATTCTTCCTTTGTTTTCTTTGGTGATTGTGTTTGATACTCGAATCGTTTTTTTTTTTTTTTTCAATATTTAAATAAGTTTTGGCTTTTATTTTGCTGATTACGAACTTTTCATCACTTTTTATGATTCAATATTGTTTTGTATCTCATTCAACTAAACTATTCATGAAAAGAAAAATGTATAAAGAAGATTGAGTTTTTGTTTATTCTAATACCCAAAAGAGGGTATTATTCTATATTTTAATGCAACCACATTCCTTAAATTTCGATTTTGTGTGTGTGATAAATATTTGTCTAGAGGAGATTAGTTTACGCGCATGCATATCTGCCTTCTTCTGATTTTGCAATAAAGCTATAGTTTTGATATTCTCCCTTGTGTATATCTGCTTGCTTAGTCATCTTTTTTTTTTTTTGGGTCTTTTCCCCTTCTTTTTTACCAATATCTGAAACTATTTGTAATACCTATGTTTTTCCTCCAAATGTTTCATGAGCTTCTTTCTAGGATACGTTCTTGTAGAAGAATCGACTATAAACATGATGAGTATTGCCATGTGGATCACTTGTAAAAATACAAATCCATATTGTTGTCTTATTTTCTTGGCTCATTCTTTGTTAGGCCAAGAAAGAAATATTGAGTCTATACGAGTAAAATTATCCGGTAGGGTATGAAAATATACCTCACAGATAGGATACAGATTTAAAGCATTAAATCTTCATCACATTTCATTAAATTGTCATGTAATCTTTTTATTGATTATAAAGTGATCTCACAGTTTAGAATTGTTATAACCTACTACAAACTCTTCTCCTATAACCTTAAAATTTTTACTTTTTTTTTTCGATCGCCAATTTGAATTTAATGCTGTGAGTACTCCAAGTCCTAAGCCTTCAATTGTGAAAGTATCTCTTCACACATATAGTGAGAGACAAGTTATAGTAATGTCCCTTTATCTTTATGTGTTAGAATTAGCTTTTGAAAATGTCAATTATTCCAAAAAAACAATATTGCCATTACAATCTCTAATTGACTCGCAAGTCATAGATTTTATTCTAACTCTCTTACCCTCTTTGTCTTTATCTTTTTCCACTCTAGTAACATTAGAGCCTTGGCCTCTTGTATAGCACAAAGAGAGAGAAAATAAGTTAAAGAGCAAAGAAAGCTGAGAAAGAAACGTATGTGATTTTCTTTTACAATGATGTTGTTATAACTTTCTCAGCGGCATTATGCTCTACTCCGGAGTGTGGACAATTCTCTTGTTAATGAACACACGTGATTTTCTTTTACAATAATGTTGTTATAACTTTCTCAGCTGCATTATGCTCTACTCCGGAGTGTGGACAATTCTCTTGTTAATGAACACAAAACCACTTGTCCAATTACATATGGTTGATTCACTATTGCAGTGCTTAAACCATGATTTACTTACTAATCTTTAGTTCTGATTGAATTATGTTTTCAGGGGCAACTTCTTTTCTGTTCACTGAGTATAGATATCTCAGTATCTTCATGGGAGTTTTCGGAGTGATTATCTTCCTCTTCCTTGGCTCGGTTAAGGGTTTCAGTACCAAAAGTGAGCCCTGCACTTACAACATTGGGAACACTTGTAAACCAGCCTTAGCCAATGCCATCTTCACTACCATTGCCTTCTTGCTTGGTGCTTTAACATCTGTCCTTTCGGGTTTTCTTGGTATGAAAATCGCAACTTATGCCAATGCTAGAACGACCCTTGAAGCAAGGAAGAGTGTTGGGAAGGCCTTCGTTACTGCTTTCAGGTCAGGAGTTGTGATGGGTTTTCTCCTTGCTGCCAATGGACTTTTAGTACTCTATGTCTCCATCAATTTGTTTAAGTTGTACTATGGTGATGACTGGGAAGGACTATACGAATCGATTACCGGGTATGGACTTGGAGGCTCTTCAATGGCGCTCTTTGGAAGAGTTGGTGGAGGGATATACACAAAAGCAGCTGATGTTGGTGCTGATCTTGTTGGCAAAGTTGAAAAAAATATCCCCGAAGATGATCCACGAAACCCAGCTGTAACTTTCTCTCTTGACTCTCTTTGTAGCAATTTTAGATTCTTAATGGCACTCTAATGTTATTATTAAAATATAAACTATTGTTGGTCCACCTCTTAATAGTGTAAAGGTTTTGAAAGAATCGGTAAACTAACATAGTATTATAGTAGGAGGTCACGGGTTCAAACCCCATAAACGAGAATCTTATGTTTCTTGCTTGCATTTTCTTTTCAGGTTATAGCAGACAATGTGGGGGACAATGTAGGAGACATTGCAGGGATGGGGTCTGACCTGTTCGGATCCTACGCTGAGGCATCCTGCGCAGCACTCTTTGTTGCCTCCATTTCATCCTTTGGCACACACCATGACTACACAGCCATGTCCTACCCTCTGATCATAAGCTCAATGGGGATTGTGGTTTGCTTGATAACAACTCTTTTCGCGACCGATCTCTTCGAAATCAAGAGCATAAGCAAGATTGAATCGACCTTGAAGCGGCAACTTCTCATCTCAACAATATTGATGACAGCCGGGATTGCCATTGTCACCTACTTTGCTTTGCCATCAGAATTCACTCTTTTCGACTTTGGAACTGCCAAAATTGTCAAGAACTGGTATGCAATTCCCCCTGCTTGCTTTGGCTTGCCAAAAAATCTTTAGCATTGTTATCTGAAAATCGCATGTGAAAATGCAGGCATCTTTTCTCTTGTGTTGCAATTGGATTATGGGCTGGACTTGCAATTGGATACATAACAGAGTATTATACTAGCAATGCTTACAGGTTTCTAATCTTGTTCTTGTTATACTTGTGTATTTGAGATGCTGTTTTCTTCACATAAAATATAAATGTTACAATGTTTATTTTGCAGTCCAGTGCAAGATGTGGCAGACTCCTGCAGGACTGGTGCCTCAACAAATGTCATCTTCGGCTTGGCCCTCGGATACAAATCCGTCATCATCCCCATATTTGCCATTGCAGTTGCCATTTATGTGAGCTTTAGCTTGGCTGCAATGTATGGAATTGCTGTGGCTGCTTTAGGAATGCTTAGCACCATTGCCACCAGTCTTGCAATCGACGCTTATGGCCCTATAGGCGACAATGCTGGTGGAATCGCAGAAATGGCTGGAATGAGCCGCAAAGTACGCGAGATAACAGATGCTTTAGATGCTGCTGGAAACACCACTGCTGCCATTGGCAAGGTGAACTTCTGTAATTTTGCTTATCCAAAGGCATTGTTTTTTTTCTTTTTATTTTTTATTTTTAGTACTACACTTGATTTTTCTTGTTTTGGTGTGGGAGAATGTGGGAACTAACACATTTTGGGAGGGGAAAAAAGATATTACCATAAATTTCTAGATATAGAAATTGATAAACATCTTTTACACAAAAAATTCAAAATCCCCAAAATAGCCTCAAGACTCATTTCCTCCCTAGAACTGTTTTACTGTTGTACGTCGTTGTTACCTCTCATATATTCTAATAAATGTCATTTGCTGCAATTTCTAAATTTTTTTTTCTTAGATAAAGCACAAAACTTGCTATTTTACTACAATCAATTTCATACCCTTGTTTTAGTTCTTTCCAGAAAGCTGTCATTTACTGTAATTTCCATTTTTTTTCCAGGGATTTGCTATTGGATCAGCTGCACTTGTTTCTCTTGCTTTATTTGGTGCCTATGTGAGCAGAGCTGGCATAAAGGCTGTAGATGTCTTGACCCCTAAAGTCTTCATTGGTTTGATTGTTGGGGCCATGCTTCCCTACTGGTTTTCTGCCATGACAATGAAGAGTGTGGGAAGTGCATCTCTCAAGATGGTTGAGGAAGTTCGACGGCAATTCAATTCCATTCCAGGGCTATTAGAAGGTAGAGCCAGACCAGACTATGCAAGCTGTGTTAAGATTTCTACTGATGCCTCACTCAGGGAGATGATCCCACCTGGTGCATTGGTTATGCTTACGCCTCTCATTGCCGGAACTTTCTTTGGAGTCGCAACTCTTGCCGGCATTCTGGCTGGTTCACTAGTTTCTGGCGTCCAGGTATGCTAAAAGATCATGCTAGACAGGGTTTAACAATTTTCCTCTTCTTTTTTTTTT